ATGTCCAGGGTAAACGTCGTGTCCAGTGATAAGCGCCCATTCTCTCTCCTTGGTCCCAAGGACATTCACCCAATCCCACAACAAGAGCTCTGGGGCCCCTGCAGCAGCTGTATCAACAAGCGTGTCCTAATGGGTGGTGGTGGGGGGACACTAGACCCTGAGAGACTGAAACGGAGCAAACATGCTGGCTTAGAGTAGTGCAACTGGGCAGCCTGCCGGGGGTCTGTAGCTTTCTCCTCCCTGCTGATAGACTCCAGAGGGCCGGACACAAACATGGATAAGTCATGCCAGGCAGGAGATCAACAAGGCAAACAAACACAAGAAGCGAGGCACCTCCCCAATCCCCCACCACTGGCTTCCTCCATGCTGAGCGGTACCAGGGTACTTGAGCCCGAAGCATGTGTCTTTGTACCTTCAGCCACACTTTCTCCTTGGGGGCAACACCGTTCCCCACATGTCAGGAGGTCATTGAGGAAGACTAGTTATGCTCACCTGCATCAACAGGTGAGGGAGCGGGGACACAGAGGCACAGCCACACAGCCAGGGGGTGACACACTCAGGCCTGACCCTGGTCCGCAACTCCCAGTTCACACGTGCTTCTGGGCTCATGAGGCTGGGGCTCAGAGGACGGAGCATGGATCTGCTGTGATGGGTATGTGATGACCCAGCTCAAACAAGCTCTTTCAAGAACTGAAAACATCTTAGAAGGCATCCATGCCTGACACATGGGAGGGGTTCTGATGGCAATGGAGAACAGAGGTCACATTCCACGCCTCCCAGAGGTAACTGCCAAAAGTGGCCGGTGCTCAGGCCCCGGCTGAGCAAGAACCCATCCTTGGGAGGCTGCTGAAGAGTATGGGCACAGATGGCATGAGGTCCGGGGGTCCTCGAGGCCCCTCGCTCAAGAAGCAAACTCACTGCATTCAAATCGCAAGGTCAGCAGTTCAAAACCACCAGAAAGACGAGGCTTTCTCCTCCTATAAAACACTACTGTCTCAGAGACCCAGGTGCCGCTCTATCCCCTGTCCTATAAGGTTGTGATGAGCTGAGCACCCAGTGGGGCAGGGGCAGGCTCAGGATACAAGACTTGGAGTGGCAGCCCACGGTTGCAGCTCAGGAGACCCCCAGCGAAGGGGTGGGGTGAACGGCTTGTGCTGATGATTGACTGCCTTTCGTGTTTTTCCTGGGAACCTGATGAGATTGTATCACGGAGCCTCTGGGCTGGGAATCAGGAGACCAGAGTCCCAGTCCAGCTGTGTGACCCTGGGCAAATCCTTTACCATTCTGGCCCTGCTGTGCTCACCGCTGTTCCTGGAAGGCCCCCCTCAAGCCTCGGCTGGGTGGTCTGTGATGTGGCACAGGGTGGGGCTGCTGGGGTTTTCTAGTGCAGAGGCGGCTGGGAAATGCAGCTCCCCAGGGAGGACCCTTGGTCTTCCGGAGCCCCCGCCTCTGCCCCATCTGAGCTTCTTCCCAGTAATGAGCCCTGACTGGGCACATCCTGTCATTTCCGGGAGGCACCTCTGCCTGCCTGCCCTGCCCACGTCAGTGCACTGGCCTGAAACCTTGGGCTCAGCTTTTTAGAGGCCAGGTCGGGAAAGGAATCTGACCATCACAATACTCCCTCTGCCCCACCACACATCCTATAACCGGACAGAGAGGGCCCACCCCACCCCCACCCCCACCCAAACCCACCCTGTCAGCAAGGACCAGGCTTTGCCTGGCTCTAGTCTGGGGCCTGAGAACCCCTCCCTGTGAAGCCTTTGGGGGCAGCTCGTATTGCAGAGCTCGGCACTTGGCCGTGGCCGCAGGGCCCAGAGGACGGTCTGTACGAATGTGGGACTGCAGCCCTTCTTTCTGAGGTCACAGCACTGCGCTGGGCACAGTCTTGGCGAGTGGGCTATGGGGTGGACTTTAGGCTCCAGGTGCCTCTGTGCCTGGTGGTCTCGTGCAGGTCTCGTGCTGCAGAAGTGCCCCTGGAGGCCCGGGCTGGCCACAGGGAGGGGAGAGGGGCCAGCTCGGCTCCGTGGCCAGGAGCCCCAGGTAAGAGGCTCATTCCTTAGCATTCTTGGTTCTCAGTGCTCACTTGTGTGCTCCTGAGGGAGACTGGGATACGTGTGTGTGTGTGTGTGCGCACGTGCACGTGTGTGATTTGCCACAGTGGGCTTGGGCATCAACACAGTTGTGAGGATGGTGCAGGGCCAGGCACAGGGTCTCCTTCTATTGTACGGAGGTTTTCTGGGGCTCAGAACGGACTCAATGACACCTAATAATAACGCGTATGTGAAGGGTTGTATTCGCTGTGTGTGAATGTATGTAAGTGTATGCGCGTGCGTGCGTGTGTGTGTGTGTGTGTGTGTGTGTATCAGGAGCATGTTGGCAAGGTGGGTATGTTTGTGTACAGTGAGTGAGGGTGTCTGTGTGTGTCTATGTAGGAGCACATGTGTACATGTATGGGTGTTGTTGTGTGAGGTGTGTATGTACACACCTATGTGTGTGAGTGTATGTAGGTCTAGGTAGGAGGGTATGTTTCTATAGGATGCGTGAGGGTGTATGTGTGAGTATGTTGGGGGTGTATGTATGTGTATACGTGGGAGTGTATGTCTGTATGGAGGGGTGTGAATGGTGGCGCCTATGTGAGGTCTTGTGAGGAAGTGTTCTTAGCAGGGGGCTCCGTTTGATTGCCCTTCCCCAGCTTTCCTGGTCTCTGCAGATCTCTGCAGTACTGGCCCAGGGCTGACGAGGCAGCACGAGGGACCCGGTTCTGGGCTCTTGTTTTCGTCACAGGCTCTTTTTGCCAGCAGCTGCATTTATGGTGTGGACTCAGAAACAGAGACTAACCGGGCTTGTCTAGCCATTCTCAGGCCATTGCTAGGTGGGTGGGGCCTCATGCTTCCTCAGGGCGGGCTGGAACCTGGCAGGGCTGGAAGGGGCAGGCAAGAAAGCCCGAGGTGTGTAGGGCAGTGGGAGGTGGTGCATTGCTTGAGTAGGTTCTTCTAACCCTAATTGTTGTGACACCTGCCAAGGGCCTGCGTGTGCTGCCTCTTCTCCCAGGGAGCCTGGGTGGGGAAAGGTGCTGATAAGATTGTATGACGCAGCTGAGATCGAATGTTAATGTGGTTAATTGAGACTGTAAAAACGTGGAATGCTAACCTGTGAGCTGGAAAAAAAATGAGCCAACTTAGAAGCAGGAAGAGGGGTTCTCACTCCCGTCAACAGAGAAAAGCCAGGAGTGTCGTGAGTCCCTGGGGGGGCTGAGACCCAAGGGCAAGAAAGCTGTGACCCTGGAGAAGCAGCGGAGCCTGACCTGGGGAGCTAGGTTTGCAGACCCACAAAGTTAGAGCTGAGCACTTTGGGGATGAGGCTTCCAGTGGCTGGAATGGCGTGCCCTGTGCACAGTGACTGGCAGTGCTAACAGAGCTCGGTAACACTGCCTGCAGAGGACAGAGCCAGGCCATGGGGCCACGGGCCAGAAAGAACCCTATCTGCAGGCACAGTGAAGAGGCTATCTTGACCACAGACCTGTATCGTGAATATTTCTGATAATGGATTGTAACCGGTTCACTTCCCTAGTAAACCCCATAATTAGGAGCACAGCCTGTTCTCTGTGGCATTGCAATGAATTATGGAACCTAACAGAAAAGAGAATGCTGTGGGAGGGGCAGGTTGTGCCAACACTGGTAAAGTTTGGAGGGGGCTATGTTTGACCCCAGCCTCATAGGAATCAGCCTTGAGATGATGCTGATTGCGAGTCTCCTCCTCCCTCTTGAGATGTCAGAAGGGGTCAGAGGTCACTCAATCTTTTTTTTTTTTAACAGCCAAAGATAAAGGCAGGCAAGAAGGACAAAAAATAGATTAAAAAAAAAAAAAAGAATGGAATGGGATAGATGCTGAGGAAGCAGGAGTGTCTGGGACCAGGGCTGTTACAGATGGTCCCACAGGCTGTGCCCTGAACAGCTGTGTGGGGTGCTGGCCACACAGACTCAGATGTCACA